GGGGAAATATGGCCGAGGTGAAAAACCCAGCAAAATATCACATGTATGTAATACCCAAGAGGATGTTCTCAAGGTAGTATTTTTTATTGTTGTTGTTTAAATTAACTATGCACAGGTTGCCCTAAAACCTTTAAAAACAAAAAGCAAAAGGTCCATCCTGCCCTCCAAGCTTACTTGAAAATGCTCAGACAGTACAGACAACAGAGACCCTGTCTGAAGTTCTAGCCATCATGCTGTATTTCCTAAGAGTTTTCCTCTCTCTTTCAGCATTTAAGCAATAACAACAACAAAAAAGTACACCACCACAGTCTAGCGGGCTTTGTTCCTCGGGATTCAGTCTGCTTTCTCATCCCACACCTCCATGCTCATTACACAACAAAACACACAAGACCAAGAACCACGAGAAATCCACCCCAAGGTAAAATTCCACATCGACTTCAAAAGGAAACCCCCAAGATAAAATTGTAGGAACTTTTGAAGCCTTTTGCCGTTTTGTAAGATACATACTATACCAAAATACCACCATTTTTGGTACAGAATCTTTTTTTGCTGGGTACAAAGGAAGTTAAATTAAAGTCTTTGTATAGCAAAGACACCGGGGGTGGTATCTAGGGAGTGCTCCTAACCCTACAGCTTACCAGCCGCTGGAGGCGGGGCGCTGGGAGGGACTGACTCAACCCCTGCCACTCAGCACAACCCAACAGCCTGGCCCTCATTTTGTTAAGAGGATAGAGGAGGAAAAAGGGGGGGAGGGGAAGTAAGGAATTAAAAATATAAATTTCAAAACACCACAGAGAAAGAAAAACGAGCCAGTTATGTGAGTTAGAACATGGGACTGGGAAGCTGGGGAAAGGGAGGATCTTAGACCTTGTGACTTTGAGAGTTTAAGAAGTCAAACTGTACTTGAGAAGTCAATGAATCTATGAGGGCTGGGAGAAAGGAATAAGGGGGAAAGAAAAGGTAGAGAAGTAGGCAAAAGAGATCAATTGGTTGTCTAAATCCTCATTTTTTTGGCCAGCAAATAAAGACACCATCCCTGGGGAATGACTTCTCTTCTCTGAACATAGATTAGGAGTCACTGGATAATAGCAAAACAGATGCTGTAACAGTTAGAGGAACTCGAATTTGTAGGATTTGTTTCTTAGGTTAAATATTATTTGATCAATGGAACTCCGCCTGTTAAAAACATTTATTCTACACATCACTTATTTATAATGTGGTAACCCACATATCACATGAAAAAAAAAAATCGATCAGATTAAAATAATATCTGACAAAATGTTTTCAGTTCTCCTAGGAAGATTCTGCCCCAAATAGGTAGTGAAGTTATTTTCTTAGCAATCTGTGATAGTTGTAACCTCTAATCTTTGCTAACAAACACTGACCACTTTTATTTTCAAAGTGAAGTGCTAGAAATAATTATGAAATAGCTTAGCCCCAGAGTTACAAGAAATCTAAATTTCAGAGAAATTAGGAAGCAATCTTTAGACAATTATTTTGAAACACGTCTGATGAAATGCTGTGATTTGACAATGTTTTTCTTAAGTGAGTGAAAAACAAAGTGTGAGGAAGAGCCCCAGAGTTAGCTGTTCATCAGCAAATCTGAACAGGAGTCAGACTCTCTGGCCAATGTGAAACTGTGCAAAGACCAAAAGGCATTATAACCCCAGATTCGCAATGCTCCCTTTATTGGGGCCAGCAAATGGCGTGGTGGTTAAGGCACTGGACTCCCACATGGATGATCACAGTTTAAATCCTGGACCTGGCACCCTACTCTCTCCCTTCTCCCCTCTCTGGTCAAATTAATAATAATAACAAATAAAGTTAAATAAATAATTCTTTTTAAACATTTTTTTCAAAAGAATACTCCCTTTATCAAAACAGATACACTGTGCCTGCCAAGGTATAGGAACTTTTGCCTTATAATCAGTGAAAAGGCAACCATAGGGACCAGAAAATGGTGGTTACATTGCTAGATTCCCACATAGTGTACCATGGTTCGAGTCCTAGACCCAGCAGTGTCAAACTCATGCCAGGCGTGTGTATATGTATGGCCAAGATCTTAAGAGGAGAATGGATTGTGGCATGGCCATCCTACTTTGGGGAGGGGAGAAGGACTTCTCGCCGTTTCTCTGTCTGGTGAGCACACGTGCCCTATAGCAAAAATCTCTCAAAAAAAAGGAAAGGCAATCAGAAATTTTAGCCCCATAGTGCATGGATCCTCAGTCTCAAAACTGTAGGGGACCATTCTTCTCCCCTACTCTCCCATCTCCCTCTGCTAACTTCTCCATAGAACATAGTACTGATCACCCCCTCAGCCCATGGTGTCAGGTGAAGACTACAGAAAGACACAATGACAGGGCTGACTCATGGAACCAAAATCGCCATTCAGCTGCCACACGCATCAAGCACTTCACAAATCTGGTTTCCTTTAGTCCACACTGTTAGCTTTTATCTCCTCCCCAGTTCTCAGAGCTCCTCCTCCCCCCCATCCCCATAACCTCTACCCAGTGGCCATATCCAGGTCCCCAAAAGAAAACCAGAAGACACAAAAAGTCATATTCTAATATGCCAGCTGTAGCTCCTTTGGACAAAGGGCCATCTAAAAGGTGGTGTGTGCTCCAAAGTGGTTGCTATGTAAATGTGCCTATTATTAAACAGCAGAAGAAAAAAGAACCTAAGTCCCCATGCTGTTTCACTCGCCAAAATCCACACTGGCTCTGGAAAATAACGTTCTACCATCTCGTCCAGATCATTAATTTCTACGCAAGGAAACAAGGTGCTTAAGGCCTACACTGTGGTGACTGCTCTTGTGGGACCATGGGAGTCATTACCTCTCTCCAAATGGACCGATTCCCACTCTCGCCTGGGGTAATGCTTCAGTACGGGGCCCATGGAGCCTGAGTCACTGTGCCCACCCTGAGTCTCCTCGGATTTATCTTCTCTCCACACTCAAAGAGAGAAAAAGCCTCCAAGAGGTTTTAAAGACACGTCCTTTCTCCATTGCTAAAAAAGATGTGGGGAAATCCCACCATGCACTTCCAAAAGCAGAGAAATAGACGCCAGCCCCTGGACCCACTTTGGGGAATTCAGGGAACCAGAGGCTTCCTCGCTATACACTCTATACACTCTAGGTCGGTAGAAACGTCACACCTTTTTTTTTTTTTGGAGAGGTTTTTGCTATAGGGCGTGTGCACTCGCCAGACAGACAGAGAGAGACAGAGAGACAGAAAGTGAGAAATCACCCCCAGGGGGAATGGCCACGCCGCAATCCCGTCTCCTCCGTTCTCCTCTCGGGATCTTGGGCACGCATGCACACGCGCCCGGCGTGAGTTTTAAGCCACCGGGTCCAGGATGCAAACCGCGGTCGACTACATGGGAATCCAGCGACATAGCCATTACACTAACTGCTGGTCCCCTTTTTAAAATCTCTGTCACTTTTTAAAAATCTCTGTGAATATCGTTAATTTTTTGTAACATGGCATTTGCATTTCTAGGAGACATGTACATGAGAACCCCAAGTCAGCAACTTTACACCTACGTTACTGTCCCTAAATACTACCTAATTTATAACAAGCAAAACAGAGCCAGCCACAGAAAGCTACTTTCACCTCCCAGAGGAGAGAATGCGCCCCAAGGCACAAAAAAGGGAGCAGAGAACTAGATCAAGTCTTCAGTGGCTGTGGCCACAAACACAGCGTGTGACATTGGGCAATTCACTTAAGGCATCTCTGGGCCTCAGTTTCCTTTTCTGAGAGCAGATTGGGCCTAGATTATCTAAGGTCACTTCCAGCCTGGAAATCTTGGCATTCTTATGAGCATCCATTTTACTTGGCGTTGAAGGAAGGAGGAAGCTTCTAGCAAATGTCCACCTTCTTTCTACATGCCTCATTTATACCATAAGAAGATAAGACATGTTCACAAATGGCAATTCAAAAAAGGGTTTTACAGTGAGATATACACACATACAACAGAGGCATAACTCATTAAACACTACATACTCAATTACAGCAAACTACAAAACAAGGAGGCTATTAAACTGAAATTTGACATAATGTATCAAGATTTTCCTACTTTAAAATTATTTTGGCACTTTTAGAAATAATACATACTACAGCAGCAAAATATATTAAGGGATAAGATGTTGTGATACTTCAAAAACTACATGAATTGTTTCATGTTTTGCATAATGCTGTCATAGATTCATTAGACAAATATATTCATTTATTATTTCAAAAGTATGAAGTCCAGCACATGATATAAATCTACTGAAAAGAATATTCTAATAAGATTACGCTATCTTCTCATGAGGTTAATTTGTTAAGTCCTACTTTCAGAGCCTGCAAATCCTTAGAAAGTCCATTAAAAATATAAGTAGACACATGGTTTTTGTTGTCATCTCTTAGTACTAAAACCAAATGCTTTCGACAGCAAACCCACATGCTTTCAAAGCTGTGGATGTACAGGTTAGGTTTCATTTTAACCTAAGTTCATTTCTATACCAGGTCTCTAAGGAGCCTGCTCAGATAAAATCTTTCTAATGAATATAGAATATTATTTTTCAACAAACAGTAAGATAAACTAGGGAAGGGAAGAATGGGAGGGGTGACTGGAAAAATCTCAAATCCATAGCTCCCCTTTGAGTTTCCTAATTCCCTCCTCTCCACATCACCTCCTCTAGCTGTATTTTTAACATTGTTTTCGTACCATTTCTGGTTTCCTCAAAGCATGGTGACTGTGTCCATTAATTGGAGCCCACAAGGCTAGATTCTAACCCAATACATGAAGAAAAAGGTCAAGGGAAGGTTCAGAAAAATTGGGGATACGTTACAATCACTAGGGTCCAGTAACAGGAAATGAGTACCTTATAAATATAAACCACGTCCAAGAACTTCTTTTTTTAATGTTTTAAAGAAAGGTAAACAAGGCCTGTTATCATCAGAAGAGCATTCCCTTCATCACCCCCCAATAAAAGAAGCAAGTCTTGGAAGGTTACTTACGACAATGTGTGCCGGTGATGGGGACCGGGCATCCTTGAGGGCTTGTCTACTCTGGAGGCTCCCTGCCTGGACATCAAGCAGTGGCCATTTCATCTGGAGATACTAGAAGGGGAAAAATAAAATAAAAATAGAAAACCATGAGTTTAGAAAAGAAAGGCAAAACACCTAGCCCAAGAAATAGCTATTACATGGGTCACAATCTGAAAAACTTAAAAAAGCATGCAGTTAAGGGCAACGACAACAACAACACATGCAGTAAGCGATGGTTTCTTCCTCAGTGCTCCAGTTTAATAGGCATGTATATAGAACATCCACATTACTAGCAACTGTAGTTTGATCTTGGCATTCAAACTATAGGTGGCTTCAGATACAATGACTTTATTAATACCACCTAACTTGGAAGGGAATGGAGCAGAAGGAAGAACGGGAACAGAGAGCTATTCCTTAAGGAAGCAAGCAAGCACACATCTCAAGACAGAAACATCCTACGAGACCATTAATTCTAAATCTGCTCTTTTAGTGACCTTCATTTTTTAAAATGCCATCATCCTTAACTTTAAAGACAGTTGAGTACATATATACAACTGTCCTTTACGCAGTAGAAGCTACTCGAGTAGGGTGAGCAAAGAACTCCTCCTCCAACTCTAAGGCTTATCACACGAAACAACTTCTTGGCAAGAAATACACATCCAGGGACCAGCAGTTAGTGTAATGGCTATGTTGCTGGACTACCATGTAGTCAACCGCGCGGTTTGCGTCCCGGACCCGGTGGCTTAAAACTCACGCCGGGCGCATGTGCGTGTGTGCCCAAGATCCTGAGAGAAGAATGGAGGAGAAGGGATTGCGGCGTGGCCATCCCCCCTGGGGGGTGATTTCTCGCTTTCTGTCTCTCTCTGTCTGGCGAGCGCACATGTCCTATAGCAAAAACCTCTAAAGAAAAAAAATAATAAAATACACATCCAGGGCACAAGGCAATGGATACATTCATCTCAACACACACACACACACACACACACACACACACACGGAGAGAATTTCTTAAATATGCACAGGTTCACCAGAGCTGATAAAAAAATGTCTACTCCTGCTTTTCTCTGAGATAGGAAATGAATCCACAGCACAAGGGAACTAATCTGTTGAACGTGATACTTCAGTTTTCCCCATTTTGTGGATAAGGGAAACTACGGTGAGGTGACAGTACAGAGCTATTCAGCACCTGTTTAAGCGACTCCCAGGCATTTGACTTTTGTTGGTATTATGACATTATGACAGTTTCACTCAGGGGGACTTTAGACAACCAGACAAACTTTTAGACATGAGATTTAGAAGGACAGCACTACAAGTCGTCATATGTCCAAAGGCTGACTGATTAATGAGTCAGTTAAGGTTTGGAGGATATATAAAAGCCATTTTGATTGTTTCAGAAACCCAAAGGAAAACAAATGGCTAGTTTAGTAGAAATTCTACAGAAAACTGTACTCAATGAACACTGATGAAAGCAGGCTCTGTGCACAGCCTTTTGACTAAGCATCCTGGTGGTATAAAGAGGTCAGCCCCCAGGGAGCTTATACATGTGAGGAAGCCAACCCATACACAGGTGAGTCAAGCAATTAACAGAATGCAGAGAGACTCGAGGACTCCTGCCCAGGGAACGGCAAGAAAGAAGACAGACTTTCTGGGAAAATAATCTAGAGAAGGCTGCACACACTAGGTCTTGGTAAGTCAGGAAAAAAATCAGTAGAAAGAAAAAGATGGCAATAGCCATTTTAGAAAGAAAGATTTGCACAAAATCCCACAAGAGACAGAAGGGCCAAAGCCATTCCCAAGCCAGTCCCTGGGTTTCTCAAAGACATAACCATTCGGTGAATTAAAATCAAACTCAGCTATACCTAAAGCTGGAAGAGCCTAATGTGTGAGCTACTTGCCAATTTTTCCAAGCTATTGATAGAGGTGTATCTTTCACAATTGTAGGGCTTTTCCACAGAAGCCTCCTGCAGTGAGAAACTTCTTACCAGGTCTGGATAACCACAAGACCTTGCATCGAATCCCACTCATTCTATGACTATTCAATTTTCATCTGTAAATCCAAGGGACTACCCTATAACCCAGTGGGGCTGTGGGAGGAGGTAGGTCTCAAACATTAAAGGCCATCTAGGCTTCCAGGTCTCCAGACAGTGAAAAGACCAGCAGGAACCCCCAAGTCACCCTTATGATCAAGCCATTTCCAAATACTTTCCTTGAGGGCAGTATCACCCCAAGTGGACAACCACTGAAATAAATGTTTCCTAGGTCTCCCTCAGCCTTGTAACCCAAGTTAGAAGGCTATGGAAATCTATTCTGCCCTGTCTCACCCCCAACTTCTTCCCATTCCCACTTGCCACATAAATATATGGGCTGCATTGGTCAAAACCACTCAATAGAGTCATTTCCTTGAGGTTGACCAAAATAGACTCCCGCCAACAGTCACCTCGCCATCTCATAAAACCCCGTGAAAAACCCATGAACAAAAATGCCAAGCTGAGTCGGCACACACCTACACCCCATGCTACTACCCTCAGAAGGGAGGGCTGATTAGGGGTCAAGTTTTCATCTCTGGCCACCTGCAAAACTGATTTGACTGCATCCAAATACCAGCTCCACAGAATTAGGAAATTTAGGCTTTGTTTAAGGTGACAGACCTGCCGAGGACCACTCACGAGAACTGTCATAGCCATAATGCAATATGAATGCAGAGGCTTATAATTCTTACTTTACATAAAAGCTTCATTGTGTGCCATATCCAATCTCCGTAGGCTACCTGCACCACATATTTTTATGAGCCTACATTTCAGCGCTCCGAGCCTACAATACACATAATTTTCAATTATGTTAGGGCAGCCCAGGATCACTGCCTATATAACATTACTGGTTGGAGGAAATGAGTCTCGGCCCCACTGCCCAGAGAGAGCTAACCAAATCCAGATGGTGAAGGAAGACAGCCCGGACCTGCCGACTTGCAGGGACTTCGCAAAGACAGCCCCAGTGCAACTTGATGCCACCAAATGGCTGCGTACCCACAAACCCATGTCTGTCCCTTGAATCTTAACTGGCATTTAGCAGAAGAGGTTCCTTTTGGGGAAATACATATTATGTCAGGATTTTTAAAAGGAAGTTATTAACCTCCTCCCAAAGTGATGGGTTTCCCAGTTTCCTTCATCTTCTACAATTGGTTCTTATTAATAGGGAAAATAAATAAATAAAGAGAAGAAAAAGGAAGTGAGATACTATTACAGGCTAGAGGAAAATCTGTTCCTTCCTGGAGACATTAAGCAGCAGGAAATTCTATTCTGTTGGGTGCTAAAGGAAGACCTGAATGAGGCGGCATCTCAGATTTACAAAACGGTTGGAACACTGCGCCACATTTTCCCAACAATTAGACTTCGGTTTTATATCCTTTTGGGGAAGAAAAAAAAAATTTCCCACCATCCCACTATAAAAACAACACTGGGCTCCAGCTCTCTTCCTCTTAGGCTGCTCAACGTGGAAATTATGAATTGCCTACAAAAACATTAAACTTTTCAACAAACTGCAATCAAACAGGGCTGTGGGAATTGCTGCATTGAAAACTGTTGAAATGGAGTCTGCTCAACTTTCATTTTGTAAAAAAAAATATAAGGCCATCACGGCTTAAACATTTCATCCTTTGTTTAATAATAATGTTCTGATCACGGCCCATTAGAGTTTTTCCTCGAATCATATTTTATGATATGTCTCAGAGAGCTTAAGTTAAGCTATGGACCTGTGGGCAAAGTCTCGAAATATATACAACACCCAGAACCTGGAAGGAATCAAAGCTGAAAATGCTTGTGAAATTGTCAGCAAAAAGAAAAAGGGAAGCATCTCTAATTTCTTGTCTTCTCTGCCTCCCCCAATAAAAAGGGGGAAAGAAAAACAACCCCAGAGGATCTTTGAAATCAGAAGGTTCCTTCAGAAAACTAGCTGCAGGGGCAAGTCAGCTACTAAGGCCAGCCTGATAGAGCCTGTCCCACAAAGGCACCTCCACCCTTGTGAACCCACCATCAGGACCCAGGACGGCAAGGAGGGACTGCTTAGAGAACATGCCACCTTCATGGCTGCTGCAGAGGGCTTTGTACAAATCTCTCTTCTAAACAAACAAGCGAACTCAAAGGACAGTGGTGGGGGTGGGGGTGGGGGTAGGGGTGGTGATGGCAAAGTTGCCAGGAAACTTCACATCCTTGAAAAACACCAGCACAGCTTCCCAGCACTTCCTCTCTCACTCATAGATGCGACTGGACAGGCAAGTGGCATCTGTTCAGGACAGGGATGCAAACTTTTCCTGGAATACCACAGACAGTAAATATCTTAGGCTTGGTGGCCCATGCCATTCCTGTCAGCCCATGCCATCTATATCACAGCTACTCAAGTCTCGTGTAACTCAAAAGCAGCCACAGGCAATGCACGTATGTACAGTGCTTGGCTATGTTCCAGTACAACCTGACTTCAGAACACTGAAATCTGAATTTCATATAACTTTCATGTGTCAGGAAATGGGATTCTTCTCTTGATTTTTTTCCCAGCCATTTAAAAGTAATAAAAGTCATTCTAAGCTCCCAAGTCACACAAAACCAGGTGGCAAACTGGTCTATGCCCACGGACTGCAGATTGGCAACTCCAGGCTTCACGAATCAAAGTTTAACAAGGCTTCCAAAATCACGAACAGGATGCTCTCCCTTGGCTGAGTCTTAAATCCAAACAGCCAAACACAATCATGTAAGAAAAGTGTGTTCGGTGGCCCAAAAGCCGTGTTTTAGGCTGACTCGTCTCTGTCAGACTCAGGTTTTAAGGGAAAAACTTGGCCCCGTTGGCCAAGACTCCCAGTCACAAGGTCTAACCTCTAGACCACAATCTTACCAAAATCACTGCCCCTCCTGTCCAAAATGGAAGTTTTTTAAATCCCTGAGCAGTTCTGACTGGAGAAGATTCATCTGTTCTCCTCCGTTTCCGAGGGCACTGACGACGTGTCACACAAGTCATCAGATCACAAAAGGGCACCGGCAAGACGCAGGTCATGCATGAACCATTCTGAGTGCTTTGGGATCAAC